TTGAAATAGTGAAATGGCAGGGGTTTGAATCCCCTTTGCATGTGTGCTTTGTATTCCCCCCCCCCCCCTTTTTCCATTACATCAATATTTTCCATGTTTTCGATATTACAACGATGTTTTGACAAATTATTGCTGAAGTGTGAGCGAAATTATCGACATCAATATTTTCCAATATTATCGATATTTATACGATATGTATATGGATACATTCCGAAATATCCGTGACAAAAAAAAAACAATAATATCCTCAATATTTCGTCAATATTATTGATATTTTAGACCATGGTTGTATTATATATAAATATCTAGGTAGGGACGATTTTATACATCATTTCTTGTACAATTACCTATTATTCTTTTATTACATATGACCGGATAATTTCCAGGTCTTCTTAGGGGTGGGCATGGTCCGGTCCCATTTCTACCTCACACAGAACCATAAGCATTACAATTCAACCGGTATGGTTTGGTCCATGTAACACCCCGACTTCAAATTATTCCTTATTTTAATTTAATTAAGTGAATTTACGGAATTGCCCTTAAGGTGAGAGTAATTTTTTCATTTTCTTATCCGAAGGATTTTTGGGCCACGGGTGGTTTGGTTGTGTAGGTGGCTCTGAGATGAATTCGTAGACAGGCGGTAGGCTTGAATCGGAGTTATAACGAAGTTTTAGGGATCAAATTACTTTCGGTGGCAAAACCGTAAATAATTCGAAAAAGGTATTAGTAAAAATCAGAATTTTCAATTTCATCTCAACTTTTCTCTCCCTCTCCCGTGCGTCTTCTCTCTATCCCCTGTCACTATTCACCTGAACGGAAACAGCCACCCCGTCGCCACATCCGACCACCCCAGCCTTCGAGATCGGTCCTATTTGACTCGTCGTGAAGCCTCGATCCTGAACCACCCAAAATCCCGACCGGAAAGCTCCAGAACTGCCGGCAGTTTCGACTGGTTTGAGCCGGACTTTTTCGATCATTGCGCCGCCGCGTCCGCTGTCTATTTCAGGTAAAATTGGTATGGTTTCTCTCTCTTTTTACGTGTTCTAGCTGGCTGTTGCATAGGAATCGTTCAATTTGCTGTTTAGAATCCGATTTGAGAAGCTAGGTTTTGGCCGGTTTTCAATTTGAAATTCCGGCCAGTTCCCGTACTAATTGGACTTCATGGTAGTTGATTAAAGTGATCCTAATCTTGAGAAGAAGCTAGGGTAGGAATGGTGAGCGTTGGTGTGGAGATTTTCCGTCGTCGGAAATTACTCTGCACACCCACGTGCTGTCGGCGCATGTGGCGGCGCGTGGGGAAGAGTGGTGGAGCTTAATTATGTCCTCATGAGATCCTTAGGTTGTCACGAGCGCGTAGGATTTTGTTGATTTCAAAACAGAGGTCGTGGGTCCTGTGGACCCGCTTGACCTGATTTGGGAAGTTTGACTGTCCAGTTGACCGAGTGTCTCCCGAGGCTTTTCCATCGTCCGATTTGGGTAGTTGGACCTTAGAACGTCTCTTTCCGCATACACTCACTAGAAACCCGGGAAACTAGGTTTTTAATTCAAAATTCTGTTTTGAAGCGCTTGATGTTAATCGCGTGTTCGTTTTCTGAAATAGGTACTCAAACCACGCATACGCAGCAGGCGGGGCCCTCTCAGGGTCAAACAACATGTGATTACTTGTGAGTGGACTTTGTTTTTAACTAATATGCATGGTTTTATGATGGGAAAATTTATGCATAATGTTTAATGGTATATTTGGATATATTATTATTTATTCAATGGTGGAAATTGATATTTTTATGAAGTATTGGCTATGTATGGGGATACTTGGGTTGTTAAAATGAGTTTGTGGGAAGGTTTGAGTTGTGAAATATCTGTTTGGAGTGCTTTAAGCACTACCCTATGTACCTCCCCGGATTTGGAACTTGGTTACTAATACTTGAGATACTTGGAATTGTCGGAACCCGGGACATCCTTGATGGGATGTTGCTGTAGACCCTGGATTTAGGGTAGTCTGCGTGCGTAGCACTGGTTTTTCAGGCGTACAAGCTTTGAGTATCTCGGCTATACATGTTAGCTGAGAGTTAGTCCCCCAGTTAGACAGCTCGTTCCTTAGTCACATGGTGAATTGAGGAATGACTCTGCCATGTTGACTAGTCAAACAATCCCCCGGTTGGATTGTTTCCCCTGTACAACTAAATGTTGGTTATAATTATATATATTTTTTATTATTATTATATTATATATTATTATACATATTTATACATATGAATATTCATTCGTTCTTGTTTCCCGGTAAGGATACTTCCTCGCAGGTCGTGCCAGTGGGTACGTTTTTGAGAGTTTAATCTTTCGGGACTTTTAAGTTTTGAATGGTGGGTTTGTGAAGTGTTGTTCACGGATTTCGGACTTGGTATCCGGTATTATTTTAGTATATGTTCATATACTTACTTATGACGATTTTAAGATGCATTTGGAATTCTTGCATAATTTTCTAACGGTGGGGTTATATTACGTTGATTTATTTGAACTGAACTTTATTTTTGTCCATTCACAATTTTTTGTTTTGCGCCCCCCAGCCAGTAGTGACTGAGCTCCGCAGTCGAGCCGGATAGGGTGCTTCCGAACCTTGAGTCTTTGTAGGGACTCCTTCATCTTTCTTTTCCAGTGGAACTCTGTTTGTGTTGTATTTGAATTTATTAGATATGCTCTGTATCTCCCGCTTAGGGTTTGAATTATGAGGCCGGAGGCCTTTGTTGTAAATTGTTTAACTACTTTTAAAGCATGCTGCTGGTTGGGTTTATTAACTGTAAATTTTGAGCAGGTTGAAGTTTGAGAAATGTTCAATTTACAGAGGAGACTCTGCCAAATTTTTGGTAGAAAGTTTCGGTCTTTAGCAATTGGGCCCGGCATCGGGGTGATGTCGGTAATTAGGCAGGGTCCGTCCTAGTTTCCGAGGAAATTCGGGGCTGGTCTTGTCAGTCCAAGTGAATTTTATGAAAATGGTCAGTTTGATTTAAACCAATTTCGGTGCGATTCTCGAGTTTTCCAATTTTGGACCGGGGTTTTTTGGATATATTTTTTTTACAAATTCCAACTAAAATTTTATTTGTTGGGCTTGAAAACCCATCCGTACCCCTTCCCCGACCCCAATCCCTAGCCCCACCCCACTACCCATAGTCATCCCTAAAAACCCAAGCCTCTACACCACCGTCGCTTCCACCATTGAGAAACTGTTGTGGATTCAATCAACTTCTTGACACGAATTAGAGCTCTAAAGCAGGAATCTAAAATCAATTTCCTTTCAAGGTGGTCATAAGTATTTTAATTATTTTAATTTTGCCCATATAATCATTAAAGCATTGGGCTTTGTTTAAAATACATGTTTGTTTTTTAGGAAGAGATTTGGAGGCAGCTGAAATTCTCATCAATGTTGACCATGAAGAACCAAGTTGGTGGGTTTGGGTAACGGAAGATATGATTCCGGGCAAAGTTGAGGATATGAGTGGAATTGACAATGAAAGCTAGGAGTGGTTGCGGTTCGGTAACAGCAAATTTTTACCCAAACCGCAAACAGACCGACTATTTGCAGTATGTTGATTTTTGAAACCTCAAAAAGAGGTCGGTTACAGTGAATTAGCAGTTTAAAACCGCAAGTTCTGTTTGTGTCATAAAAATCCAATCTTCCACATTTTAGGTCTAATTTTGATGCTTCTTTTGAAGCCTTGAGTTCAAGCATACTTTAACCCAAAAATATAAATTCACAACCTAAATAAATAAATTCACAACCTCAACTTCTCAAGCATTCACAACCTAAAGAAAATTAAAGTTACAATTCCAAGTATTCCAATTAAAGTTAAACTTCTGAAGCATTCACAACCTCAATTTCTTAAGCATTTCAATTCCAAATCCTTCAAAGTTACAAACCAAAAGGAAAATGCAATGCAAAATGAATTAAAGTTACAACTCAAAGGAAAAATCCAATTCAAAGTTAATTAAAGTTACAAACTAAAAGGAAAATGCAATGCACCAATGTTACAAACTCAAATGTTGGTGATGGTGAGTGGATTTGAAGGACCCCTTTGTGTTGTTTGAGCATAAATGTTATCTACAAAATGCAATTTACTTTTTTTTTAAAATATAGTCGCGGTTTACGGTAACCGCAAGTTTTAAAAATTAAATACCGCAACCGCAAATGCTGTTCAGTTCTTCATACCGCAAATGTGGTTCGGTTTTTCGCAATTGCGGTAAATTGTCGGTTGATTTTTGCGGTTTTTCGGTCTAAAATGCAACTCCTAATGAAAGCTATGTTCTTGTCAGTGGGTAAAGCTCTGGTTTCCCAATATTCATATGGTTCTTAACCCAGGGGGGAATGGATTGTGTTGGGTACAATACAGAGGCGGGTGCTTGGAGAAGTGGGGGAAATAGCTGCCGTGCAGTGGAGGAAGAGGGAGAAGGGTGGGGTGTGCGTGTTGTGAAGGAAGGGGTTTGATATTTGTTAATAATCTTTTTAGTTTTTTTTATAATCATTTTCTTTTGTTTTTTAATTGGTTTTAATGATTTTCCCTCAAGTCCTTAGAAGTCATTTTGTAAAGGGGTAAATTGATCTTTAAAATTTACAAGATTAGGTGGGTGAGGAAATAAGACAGGTGAGTAGAAATAGCAGCACTCTGCCAAGAGTAGCATGAAAATATTACCAAACAAAAATATACAAAAATTAAGAACGGTTCACGTGTAACCTTCTCTTCCATAATTAGGGAAAAAAAATCCAAGCTCCCTCAATTTGAGGCTCGGACATACTCACACCTCACAAGTCACAAGTGGCAAAACCAAAAATATCCACTGTGTTCACATTCCCCAAATTGCCCCTACACGCTGTCCAAGGTGTTAGCCATGACCATTTTTTAGTAGGGCTAGTTTAGTAGTTTGAAGTCCAAAAATAGAATTATGGATAAAATGAATTAGCTAATATAGGAATTAGGATATTAAGCATATCCCGCAAAACACGTGCGAGCAGTAAATGTACTTTCCGGACACAAACCACCGCTCCAACTTCCTCATGTTTCGCTCCAAATTGGAACCCTCCAATCCAAATCGCTCATTATAAAAATTTTCCCGAGAAAATCTTTTGAATTTTCCAGGCCAGAAGGAAAGTGAGGGAAAATAAGATAAAATTCTGGGAGAATTGGAGAAATAAGAAGATAATGCATTCCCTGAGCCTCAAAGTCTGCACTGATTACTGCTCGGGGACGAGGACGTGTTTGCCGGGCCGGGGGAGCTTCGGTGCTGCGAATTCGGAGCTCCGGAACTTGAGAGTCGGGCCGGGGTTTAGAGATTTCGGGAAATCGGGTCGGGTCGTGGCGTGTGTTCCGGAGAGGAATGGAAATAGCCGGAGCGGAAGTCCGAGTTCGAGTTCGAGCCCGAGTTCGGGTGCGGGTCAGAAATCTAGTTCGTTTCTTTCTCGGAGTCAAAGCTGGGCTTTGTTGAAGCAGCAAATGGAGGTTGCTGCAAATACCGAGGTGACTATTTTGGCAAAGCAAGCATTTTGGAATTTTCTTCTGTTTTCTCTTTGTTTTTTCTTGGAAACCAAACAGAGGATTTACGGTTTTGAGCTCTGTTATGAATTACAGGATTATGAAGAGGCTGCGAGGATACGCGACTCGTTGAAGTTGTTAGAAGAAGAAGAGCCGATTTTGTGGCTCCGAAGGAAGATAAAGGAGGCAATCGCTGAAGAGAGGTTTGAGGTAATTAACTCCAGTTTTTTTTTTTTTCTTTTTCTTTTTGTTTCAAAGAAAGGATATTGATTTCATTTGGTGGGTGTTTATTGCTTAGCATTGAGCTAAAAAAATACGATACCAAATTCATTTGAAGGATTTATTTATTCTGATGTGCTCAGGATGCAGCTAAGTATCGAGATGAGCTAAAGGCAATTGCCCCTTACTCTTTCTTGAAATGTTCAAGTGATGCAACCACCTTGGTATGAGAATGTTCTACTTTTCTAATTACCAATTGAAATAGTAGTTGTTTGGTATTTTATTGGCCAACTTCATTACCTATTTAAATTTTATTTGTGTTAGGTTCATGCTGCTTTGGTTTTATCTCAGATATTGTTCCAGTTATGTTATACTTTGGTGCAATTTTTAATATCATGACTGCACATGAGAATTCAAGTGGGAAATAAAACACTTCCAGAGTAATTTGACCAAAAGAAAAGAAGTTAAATAGAAAGTTTGCTGAATTTGAAGTAAAATCTTTGTTTCATTAGGGCATTCGGGTTCAAGTTAGAAGTGTGTACATAGAGGGACGAAGTCAGCCTTCAAAGGGGCAACACTTCTTTGCATATAGAATACGAATTAGCAATAACTCAGATCGCCCTGTTCAACTTCTTAGAAGACATTGGATTATCACTGATGCAAACGGAAAATCCGAGAATGTATGGTGAGTTAATTTTCTTTTCCATGGTATCTGTTATCTCTTCTGGATATCTTATTTTTGAATTGCTACTCTCATATTTTCTTCTTCTTTTTTACCAAATATTTTGTGTGTGCTTTTTTCGCTCATCGTAGGGGGATTGGGGTTATCGGTGAACAGCCTGTTATTCTCCCTCAAGCTAGTTTTGAATACTCATCTGCCTGCCCATTAAGCACTCCCACCGGAAGAATGGTAAGATGGGGCCCTTCTTTTTTCTTTTGTTCTTCCATGAAAACTTATTTAAAAAGTATATTTTATGAGTCTTGTAAATTGGGACAATCAGAAAAGGAAAGGAGAAGAAGGCTAAACTTTCTTGAATGTGGCTTGTGCAATTATGATAGTCTTTTCAATTGCAGATTATATGTCATATCCTAAGGAATGATGCTTAATATTGGATAAATATTTCAAATAAAGCTCTATAGCCTGAACAATGAGAAGTTAACTAATGAAAGATGTTAAATTTCAATTGAGTTGCTTCCAACAATGCATATAAATGATTAGATAGAATCTTGAGATGCTACCTAGTTCTGTTTGTATTGCTTCAAAGCATTCCAAATATAGGCTTGTCTGATATTCCCTACTTAAGGGCTTATGTGCCGCGGAGTATGGATTTGTTGCAGTCCATGCACATTGAGTCACCTATAGGTGTAAACCCATCAAGAGTAACTTGGCATGTTGCACATATAAGTAGACTCCAATGATGGCGTTTTGTGAGGCTGACCCCTGTTCTTCTGTTATACTGAAAGTTCTTTGCCTAAATTTATGGAGATTAATATATCGCCTTCAGATCTAATGAGCAATGAATATAGCTAGGAGGAAAAGATCCTTGGGTTAAAACCTATGTTCTCGTCCTTCCATTGTTTTAAAATAAAGTTTCAAATTTCATTTGATCATCATTGATAGTTTCCAAATAATTTGAATTTCTTCTTCTTTGGACTAAAATACTCGTGTTGCGCTTGGATTTGTGGATTTAGAAAAAGATAGTTGGATTTGATTTCTTAGTATGAATTGTTTAACGAGACTCTAGAAGTGTTAATTTTGTATGCTTACGATTCACGAGTAAATAATGTAAATTTGATTGTTTGAATATGAATATTTTCAAATACTCATGCAAAAGGTGTTATTTAAAATCTACTCTATGAATCATTTAGAAATAGAGTTTTCTTCTCCATTTTTATGCTTTGAACTTTTGATGTAAACAAACCTGAATTGAATAGCCGCACATCAATATCCTTCATTTTAAATCGTTAAATCCAACTGCAACCTTAAAAAATTGATATACTTATTGTTTGCGTACAATGCAGGAAGGTGACTTTGAGATGAAACACATCAATAGGGTAAGTTCACAATCATTTAACGTGGCTATTGCCCCATTTTCCCTCTCAGTATTGGGAGATGACATTGACACCTTTTGAATTTTGACAAGTGAGTTGTGAAGTCGATTTCGAGAGGCATTGGAATTTTATAATTATTGTACGTTATATTCAACAGTTTTTAAGTGCAAAAATCATTTCTGTTCTTGGGCGAATAGGTATACAAATGAATACATTTTTATGTAGCAAGTTTACGAGAATGATTAATTTGTAAATATGAAAGTACAGGTTTTTGTGACAGTTTTGTAACAGCAAAATGTGAACTCTATGATAAGTTAACAAGCCTCTCAATAAATATTCGAATGCACCGAGTATGTTCAATGAAATGTATGATGACAAATCGGGGAAGGTAACAATGAAAACAGAATCAGATATATTCTTTGTGCAATATCAATTTAGAGAGTCATGTCAAAGCGTAGATTATTCGTATTTCGTATTGGTATCATCGGCCTCCATGGGTACATGTTAAGGCTAGTTAACTCTAATCCGTCAATTTGTGTGTTTGATTTGATCCTATTATGTTGTTGTGTTGAAATTTCACCTCCCTCAAAGTGAACACGCTTCCCTTTTTTCTCTGGTGTCATAACAGCAAAGATCATACGCAGTGCATGCAGTGCCAAGATCATAATAAGATATGGACCTTGTTAATAGTTTGCAGTGCATGCAGGCCGTACCGTTGTTAATTGTGTGTGGCCACTCTCTCTCTCTCTCTCTCTCTCTCTCTCTCTCTCTCAAAACACACACATATATACATATATTTGGGACCATGAACATATCTATGTAGGAATTATGCCTCTAAGAAATGTCCTTTTGTGTTTTTATTTAGCACAATTGTTGTTTTTCTTTGGTTGGGATATTCACAAAATTTAAAAACTGAAATCTATTTGAAATTGTTTTCACTTTTGTTGTTACTCCTCCCTCCCATCCTCCTCTCTCACCCTCTTTCTCAATCTCATCCTCACTTCCATTCTCCCTCTCATTTTCCTTTATATCCTAACACAAAAAATAAAAATGAAAATGAAAATGGTTATCAAACGAGCCCTAAACTAATAAAATCAAGGTGAATGAAAAATGTGACACTTTCAAGGTGGGTCTTTATCTATGAGCAGCAACAGTCTCCTGCTTTAACTGAAAGCTAACATGATCATTGCTCTTTACATAATAGAGAGACCCCATGATGTTTCCAATCAGCCGTGCAAAGTTGTCTTGATGTGGTTTATGCAATTATGATAGTCTTTTCAATTGCAGATTATATGTCATATATATCCTAAGGAATGATGCTTAACCGTAGCCTGAACAATGAAAAATTAACTAGTGAAAAATGTCATATTTCAATTGAAAGTTTTTCAAATTGCTTCCAACAGTGCATTTAAATGATAAGATAGAATCTTGAGATGTTACCTAGTTCTGTTTGTATCACATGCTCACATTCCACATACAGGCTTGATTGATATGCCCTACATTGGGGCATATGTTCTGTTATCTTTCGAATGTACCGATTATGTTCGATGAAATGTAGGATGACGAATCGGGGAAGGTAACAACGAAAAGAAAATCTGATTTTTTTTTTCTTTCTTTGTGCAATATCAATTCAGAGAGTCATTAGAATGTCATATCTTGTATTGGTCTCGGCCCTTTGGGTACGTGTAGTTAACCCTAATCTATTAATTTTCGTGTTGGATGGTGTTGTGTTGAAAGCTCACCCCTATCAAATGAACACGCTTCCCTTCTTTCTCTGGTGTCATATATAAGCAAAGATCGATTTGCTCGACTTCCCTCTCGAGCTTTATGTAACGTTCTTGTTGTAAACAAACCTTCTAGCCGAAGGAAGATAAATTTCTTTAGGAAATTACACCTGTAGTTCATGAACTTGACTCGTAACCTTTGAGGCCCCAAAAAGAGTCGCCTTGCAATTTACTGGCTTTGGAAAAGCTCATGTGCCCTTTTGAAACGGTGGAGATTACCATTCAAAATTATGGCAGGTGAAAATGGATTGGACAATATTAACCGACGCGCATATATAGATATGTAACTTGCACAGGGCCTAGAAGTCCCAATTTATTTATTTATTTTTATATAAAAGAAAACTTATATATATTCAATTATTATTAACTTCCACACTTATTTTGATGTAGAACAGATGGCAGATTTAATCGCGGTTGAGCAAGAAAAGGGACGTGGTGAGTCGTTTGGCCTTTCAAAACTGCATTCGAAGTTCGAAGTTAATTCCAAATAAATTCTGTTTTTCCGTTTCGGAGTTACATAGTTAATTCCCAAAATAATTATGTTTTTCCGTTTCGGAGTTACATAGTTAATTCCCAAAATAAATTCTGTTTTTTTCAGTTTCGGAGTTACGTAGTTAAGTCTCCGAATTAATTCTGTTGTTCAGTTTTATTTGTAATAACTCCCCTAGCAGTTACAAGGGTTGAGAGTTGTGTATTTAGACGGGTTCGTCTAACGTTTTTTGGCAGTTCAGATTTTAATCAAATTAATCAAAGAGAGTTTCTCTTAATTTCTGGTGGATTCCAGTTTTCTTGTTACTCAAGGTTTTCGTTTGAAACCTTATTTGCTTGTGCTGCGTCA